AATTTTCCAATATTTTAATTCCTTCTAATAGCCAACAATTAACAGTATCTGTTGCGTACTGTAATTTTTATTAAATACAATCTGCTAAATCAAACAGCTTGCAAACATACACAAAAAAGCGATAAAGGGCGATAATTCGATAGAAATAAACCAGTGATCAGCTCTCTTATTAACTGATATCAATAGATAACGTTAAAGGAAGGCTTAGTTGCACCCATTAATCAGTGCCCAACAAATAAAACAATTGACTTACTTATGTCAATAACATTAACCATTCCTTCTCGCTCGTAACTTTTCATCCTCTTCATTTTTCTTTTTTTTTCGTTTTCAATTTTCGCTTGCTTGAAAATTGACAGTCCGTTAAGTATGCAAGAGATCATTAAATTTTGAGAATAAATGAGAACATTAAGTTTCTAGTATGAATCAGATCATTAAGATTCAATATAAGCTTCATAGGAAATATCGGAGAATAAAAAGCGACAGGAATATTTTAATGAGAACAGGTATTGTAAAACTGAAAAAGTGGTTTAACCTTCAACCATATGCATTTTATCCACATCGGCGTGAGTTTATGAAAAGGAGTTTGCAACAAATTGACCTCAACTGGTATTAAGTCTCAATGCATGAAATATAAACTGCCAAAAATTCCGAAATCAATTTTAAAATAGTAAATGCTAGGGATGATGAAAGTGTAAGCATTTATCGTTCTCAAAAAGAGATGTCCACTTTTTTTCCAACTGTCATGGGAACTGCTAATAATAATGTTATAACTGTCGTTACTGCTTTTATCGGTGGTATCAAATGATTAGATTCTCTTTTCTGAACTCAATTTGAGAATTATAAATTGACTTCATTACTCAACTAACTCAACTAACTGTGTTTCCGTAACATACGAAAAGGTCATTTATTAGTTTTTGTATGGCAGTTTCTCGTCCTGGTTACGTAAATCTCTCAGAAGCAATCAACCGATTACGGTGATATAAATTGAAAACAATTAGTAAATTATTGTATGAAAGGAAACAGATTGAAAATTCATTGCCTTATTTCTATGAAATCCTCCTATCATTTCAACACCACACCTTCTGATAATCAATAGAAACAAGATTGTTCGGTATGAATACCGATGACGGTCCGAACTTTCCGAGAAGTTACTGTTCGGTATTCATATGAATGTGTTTTCGCAACATACGAAAAGGTCATTTATTAGTTTCATTCTTTGATAGCAATGAATGGTTTAGAAGTTCTTCACTTCAATTTACTTTAATGTTTACCTCAATATATTCAAGTATGACAACGTTTCGGTGCTGAAATATCGTACTTATAACGAACAAATTATCGTAAAAATCACGTCCTAATTCCTCCTGAATTACCTATTCCATAATTGGAGCTATAATAGCAAACAGGTATGCGTGCGCGGAAACAATTTAAGACCAAATGAATTCAGCTACAATCAGCTGCTAAACAGCTCGTGTTTACGATTTAAATAAGAAAATTTTCTCCAAACTTTTACAAATTCTTTTTATAAATTATTACTGACAGTGGTTGTTCCTTAGATTTTATTGAAATTTTTGCAGCATATTTCTTCAAGTCTTTAAAAGTATGTCCTTTTTCAATCAAAACTAAAACTGTTAGCAAAAATGAAACAATAGAATAGCTTCATTACACAGAATCAGATCAGGGTCACAAACTATTTCGAGGAGAACTTTGGTCAAATCCAAGCTTTAAAGATCATTTAAAATCGATTACTTTTATGCAGTATTTATTCAGTTAATATATCGGAAATTGATACTACTGATGAAATATATGGCACAAAGCAGATCAATAATTGAGGACTAATAGCAATAGAAAATATAATGCTTTAAAATAAAAAGTATTTTCAAAATTAGGAATGACAAAGTTCATTTAATATTTATTTTTAACAATATTAATTTTCGTAAAAAAATTATCAAAACCAAACCGACCTTATCAATCAATGCGGAGCTCTTTTGCCAAGTTCTATTTAAATTTGAGTTGCAAAGTAACAGGATTAGTCTTCATGATTATGACAAATATTTGAAGATAACCAAATATATATTTATGAACGAGGCAGTTTCACAGTTAAGCTCATAAGCTTCACCAGGAATTCGTTATAGTTCAGGAGTCGTTTCGGGTCATGAATGAGTTAAACTCCGATTCTCAGAAATATTTCGAATGATACATTTTATGCTTCAAATTATTGCTATCTATTGTATGCAAAGAATTTGAATATTGGCCTTATTTTTTTACTCTCCAATGCTGAATTGTAACCAATGATATAAATATTTGTTTTATGACTTCACGTGATTTTCTAATGTAAATAAAATGAACAGTTGGCAAAAGAGCACAAGCGAAAATAGTATAACAGTTTAAGAATATTTTTATTGCAAAATGAATTTCTTCGCCGAAAATTCCAGTTAAAATTGATGGTAAATAATTAAAATTAATAATTCCAATTTCCAGTATACCACAATTCCATGCAGCCTGAATTAACATCGACCATTCATAATGATGAATTTTCACTCCATTCCTTTCATATCTAGCACGCATATTCGTTATTTCTAAATATATTTGTTAATGTAACAACGAAATCGATTAAGAATGGAAGGAAGATTTGGGAATTTAATAAATTTTAGGGCAACTCTTCAAAACTAATTTTGAAACAGTTAATAAATCTTATTAATTATCATATTATATAAGTAAGAAAGAAACAATTTAGTGATACAGACTTTGAC